TGGAAGGCTGAAGCAGAAGGATTGCCTGAAACCTGATAGGAATGTAAAAATGGTGCAGCCACTTTAGCAAACAGTTTGGTAGTTTCTTCAAAAATCTACCAAACAAATATCAATTTACCATATGACCCAATAAGTCCAGTTTTAGGAATCTGCCCAAGAGAAATGAAAACATACATCTATGCAAATATATGTATAAGATTGTTCATAGCAGCATTATTAATAATAGCCCAAGAGTTGAAACAATCCAAATGTCCATCTGGTGAGTGGACGAACAATATGTGGTTTATCCATACAATGGAATACTATTCAGCAATAAAAAAGAAATGAACTGCTTATACCAGCTATAACATATAGATGAATGAATCTCAAAAGTCTTATGCTAAGTGAAAGAAAAAAGCTAGATGCAAAAGACTATATACTGTGTGATACCATTCACATGAAATATCCAGAAATATCAAATCTATAGAGACAAAAAGCAAATTAGCGTTTGGGCAGCTGGGGGCTTAGGAGTGGAAATAGAATCAATTGCAAAGAGACATGAGAGAATTTTCTGGTGAGATAAAGATGTTCTCAAACTGGATTATAATGATGGTTGTGCAACTACAAATTTACTAAATAAAAAGTACTCTTAAATGGTGAATTTTATCATATGTAAATGATACTTAGACAATACTGCTTTAAAACGTTTAAAAACCAGCTATTAACAATATTATAAAATAATATATACGTAAGTATGATTATATATATGTATTGTATATATATCTCTCTCATTAGGCAAAGTAACCTTACTTAATTTATTTTATTTCTGTAATACTGCTTTACCATATAGTGGCCTCTACTGGCCAAAAGGAGAGTTTGATTATTTTGTTACTACTTGCTTTAAATTTTTACATTTATAATGTATCCACAACATAAATCGGGAATAAAAACAGTTATGATTTCCTAAAAGATAATTCTTATGATATAAGGTCTAAATTGTGCCTATTTAATGGAAAGCAGATTGGATAAACAGTAAGAATGAAAGAACATGAGTCAGGACATGTTCTTTTGAGTAACAGACATGAGTCGGTTACTCAAAGTCTGAGTAACATAATGAGACCCCATCTCTATAAAAAAAAAAAAAGAAAAGAAAAAAATTCTGCTGGACAGTCCAGGGAGAAAAGAAAAAGAAAAAAGAAAGACCATAAGAAACACATAAAGTTGGAGCCTGTAATCCCACGCCTTTGGGAGGCTGAGGTGAGTGGACTATCTGAGTCCGTGGGTTCGAGACCCGTCTGGGCAACTTGGTGAGACCTCATCTCTACAATAAATCAAAAACTAGCTGGGCGTGGTAGCGCCTGTAGTTCCAGCTACTTGGAAGGCTAAGGCGGAAGGATCGCCGGAGCCCAGCAGGTCAAGGCTGTGGTGGCCGGGAGTGGCCACTGCACTCCAGTCTGGGCAACAGAGTGAGACTCCAACTCAAAAAAAAAAAAAAAAAAGGAAGAAGAAGTCCATAAACTTACTTGCACCCGATCTAAACTGTACCTATAAAATACACCTCATGGCTGGATGTGGTAGGCTCACACCTGTAATCCCAATACTTTGAGAGGCAGAGATGAGAGGATTGCCTCAGCTCAAGTGTTCGAGACCAGCCTGGGCAATTTGGCAAGACCTCTTCTCTACAATAAATTTAAAAATTAGCCAGGTGTGGGTGGCATGGGCTATGGCTCCAGCTACTTGAAAGGCTGAGGTAGAAGGATCACTTGAGCCCAGCAGATTGAGGCTGCGGTGGCCATGAGCATGCTACTGCACTTTAGCCTGGGTGACAGAGTGGGACTCCACCCTACCAAAAAAAATACCTCAAGAGAATAACTTATGTTTTTAAAAAATAATACAACTGGCCAGGCACAGTGGTTCACACCTATAATCCCAGCATTTTGGGAGGCTGAGGTGAGAGGATTGCCTGAGCCCATGGGTTCAAGATCAGCTTGGGCAACTTGGTAAGATCTCATCTCTACAATAAATCAAAAAATTCGCTGGGCGTGGTGGCGTATGCCTGTAGTTCTAGCTACTTGGAAGGCTGAATCAGAAGGATCGCCTGAGCCCAGTGGGTCGAGGCTGCAGTGGCCGTGAGCATGCCTGCCACTGCACTCCAGCCTGCACTCACCCAACAATAGAGTGAGACTCCAACTCAAAAAAAAAAAAAAAAAAAGAAAAAAAAATACAACTGACTGACCTCCCCCAGTCAATCTAAGAGCCCATTCATAGAAAAATCAGTGGTAAGACTAAAAGGATGGACTGAAAGTGGGAAGCCATTTTTGTCTTGTTCCTAAACCCTAACACAATGATGGAAAAGTAGAAACTGTGTCCTGGAGGAATACATTCTTTAGGTAAAGATTAACTTTGCCAACTTTGTCTTTCTAGAAACTCAAAAATCTCTCAAGTATGACCAGTATCAGCCCATTGTATAACTTCCTGTGGGTAGTGAGATCTGTGACTCGGTAACTGGTGACCAGGACCTCCCTCAGGGTCTCCAAGACATCTGCAAGCAGTCAACAAGGAAGTCATGGCAGTCATGTCTACCTGATTATAACATGTCCAGGGGAAAGGATTTAAGCCGGGGCTGGGGGGGGGAGCAGCGCTACATTGCCACACTCATCTAGAGTGCCAGCCCTCTTCCCATCTGTGGGAAGTGATCTCTTTCTTAAATAAATCTTTTCTTCTTTCACCTCTTTGTGTGTTGCAAATCTTTGCATTACTTGGATCTCTGGTTACCAACGCGTACTTCCAGCACACTGGCTCCAGCGGTGCTGTACCCCTCTGCATCCATCCATCCACCTTCACCCTCTCCGTACCCTAACAAAAACTATTATTTCAAGTTCATGCTACAGAAGCAAAATGTAAATGAAAGAAGTCACTTGATTTTTTTTAAACTTAGGACAGCAAAATAGTATAATAAATAGGAGCATGAACTTTGGAGTTAGCTTGGCTTCAAGTCCTTGCTCCATGTACTCAAAATAACTTGTTGGATTTATTATTGAATTCATCAAAGCCTTAGTCTCTACTGCTATAAAATGGAGAAAGCATTTCATCTGAAAGGATTACTGGAAAGACTGCTTAACCTATAACAGTCATACAATAAATATTATACATAATTACTGTCATTTCAGTTTAGACATTGACAATACATTTTTATTTTAAATAGCCTTTAAGTTTAAATATATACTTATAAAAATCAGATTTACCAAACATTTATTGAGCATTTATTATATGTGTCCAAAGAACTGTGTTCAAGCTCTACGGGAGAAATAGTTGTTGAAACACTTAGAAAACTATTAAAAATGATTACACTATTTATAACATGGAAACATGTTATAATGTACTAAGTGAAAAAGGTTACCAGATTAACAGTGTGATCCGTTTTTATAATCACACATGTATATTTGTATACATTCATACATAAAAACAAATACACACATATATGATACTAAACCAAATTAACTGATGGTCATCTTTTAGTGGTGTGATAAAAATAATTTTATTTTCTTTTTTCTTAAGTGTATTTTAAAATTTTTATATGATGAGCATTTTACATTACTAAAAAAAGGGAAAAGTTGAAGAAACTTTGATCATTAGTACATCATATACAGATTGGCTCAGATAGAATGTAGGCAATTAACATTCTGGATTAGAATTGGAAAGACTTAGAGGGCACAGAATACACTGTGTTCCTGTTTATAAGGATTAAAACAGAACAAAGTATGAATAACATTTATAATTCATTATATGAAAGACTCTTTAGATCAGAATGTTAGAATGCTTTAGTTTAAAATGCCGCTTCTTTTTTAGGATTTGTGTTAATTAACTTACAGTTTGGTACTGTTCTAAGAGTAGAAAAGAGAAAATTACCCTTAGAATTTTTCTGGCACAGTTAGAGGTAAATGGGCAGAATAGAAAATCATGCAAAAGAGTCTCTGGGTTAAGGACTCCACACAAAGCAGGGTCACTGGGCCATGGCAAAGGGCCAATATCTGTTTTCTATTACAACAGCTGGCAAGACTGAAGCATGACCTTACTCTCAATAAGCCAGGGACCACGATGTTATTGGAAATATATCTTAATCCAGCTAATATAATGAAGCCCACCTAGGAGTCTCTTTGGCTTATCTCTCTATTCCCAACATTTCTCAGTCATGGAAAAAGAAATTTTGACATTTCCAAATTTGTTGAATGAGAGAAAAGTGGCAATAGAGTTAACAGTAAGAATGGCCTACAGCCGGGCTCGGTGGCTCAGCCTGTAATCCCGCGCCTTTGGGAGGCTGAGGTGAGTGGATTGCCTGAGCCTGCAGGTTCGAGACCCGCCTGGGCGGCGAGACCTCATCTCTACAATAAATCAAAAAATCAGCTGGGCTTGGTAGTGCATGCCTGTAATTCCGGCTACTAGGAAGGTTGAGGTGGAAGGATTGCCAGAGCCCAGCAGGTCGGCTGCGGTGGCCGGGAGTAGCCACTGCACTCCAGTCTCGGTGATAGAGTGAGACTCCAACTCAAAAAAAAAAAAAGAATGGCCTGGCTGAGTGTGGTGGCTAACGCCTGTAATCCCAGCAATTTGGGAGGCCGAGGTGAGAGGATTGCCTGAGCCCACGGATTTGAGACCAGCCTGGGCAACTTGGCGAGACCTCATCTTTACAATAAATCAAAAAATTAGCTGCGCGTGGTGGCGTATGCCTGTAGTTTCAGCTCTTTGGCAGGCGGAGGCGGAAGGATGACTTGAGCCCAGTAGGTCAAGGCTGCAGTGGCCATGAGCATGCCAATGCATTCCAGCCTGGGTGACAGAGTGAGACTCCAACTCAAAAAAAAAAAGAATGGCCTTTCCTGAACTACATGTTCTTCAACATAAATAGCTGCTAAGATTCCACAGCTACAAACATTTGCAAGTCTTGATTATTTAGAAAGGAATAAAATAAAATGTCAAAACTAAACCTTTCCTGAATAATAGGTTAGCTAATAAAATTAAAAACTCACCTGAAAACATTTTTACAAAATCATCAGTAGACATACTCATCACCACATCCGCCTGATCAGAAGGTTCTCCATATCCGACATTCCCACCCTTGCTTTTTAGATCAAGAAACCACGTGCCACCATCTTCACCTTATATAGACATAAATATGTGGAAATAAATGCCAAAGAAGCCTGACTCTGTAATTTAATCATTTCACAATTAGAATCATCTTACAAAATGCTGTTCCCAGCTTAAAATCCCTAGACCACTATCAATCAAATTTAGCAAATATTTATTAAGCATTTATTATGCTCCAGGTACTGTGCTAGGCTATGAGGACTCTTCAATAAGCAAGAAAAACATGAGGTTCTTCTCACACCAGATGAAGTGGAAGGTGATGTGAGAACATTATTAATAAAGGGTCAGGGTACCCGGAGTAGTAAAGTTCAGAAAGACAGAAAGAATAGTGATTACTGTGGACTAGGGATGGGAGATGAGAATTGTTGTTTAATGGGTACAGAGATTTAGCTGTGATGATGAAAAAGTTCTGGAGATGGATTATAGTGATGGTTGCACAACAGTGTAAATGTACCTAATGCTTCTGAATTGCAGACTTAGGTAAGGCTAAAATGACAAATTTTATATTATACATCTTTTACCACAATTAAAAATCAAATTTAAAAAAGTGTCGGCCAGGTGCAGTGGCTCAAGTGGTGCACTTTGGGAGGCTGAGACGAGAGGACTGTCTGGACCCAAGGGTTCAACTTGGTGAGACCTCGTCTCTATAATATTTCAAAAAAAATTAGCTGGGCATGGTAGCATGCGCCTGTAGCTCCAACTACTTGGCAGGCTGAGGCAGGATCCCCTGAGCCCAGCAGGTCGACACTGGGGTGGCCATGAGTGTACCACTACACTCCAGCCTGGGTGATGGAGTGAGACTCTGACTCAAAAAAAAAAAAAAATGTCATGAAAGTCCAGTTGAATCTGAGATTTTCACGTTAAGTAAGAATTAGCTAGATGGACAAGGAGGAGGGAAAATATTTCAGGCAATGGGAATAGGATATGTAAAAAAGCCAGAATGAAGAGTGTAGTATGTGTAAGGAACTGAAAAAAACGTGGTAGGACTGGAAAGTAGAATGGGGGTGGGGGGTAACATCAGATGGGCTCGTGAGGCCGTCTAGATCTGGGCACATGGAGCATGTAAAGGAATTAGTGACTTCATCCTTCTAGACGCAACATGGAAAGAAGATGACATAAGGTTTGCATTTTAAACAGATTGCCTTATCTGCAGTGTAAATAAAATATTGGAGAGGGATCAAGAAGGTGCAGAAAGTTAGAAAGAATGGTACTGGGGTAGTTCAGGAGCTAGGGGGTGCATGTTTGGATCAGGATCGTGGCAAGTGTTTTTTTTTTATTTTTTTGAGAGAGGGGGCACATTTGAGACAGAATTTCACAGCAGAGATGCAAGGCTAGGTAACTGATTGAGTATGAAGAAGAAAAGGTGGAAAGGATATACAAGAATGATTTACTAGTTTTTGACTTGGAAAATTGGGTAAATGTAGGGGTTTTTTTTTAGTTTAGTTTTTTTTTTTTTGTTTTTTTTTTTTTTGAGTTGGAGTCTCACTCTGTCGCCCAGACTGGAGTGCAGTGGCCTCTACCGGCCACCGCAGCCTCGACCTGCAGGGCTCCGGTGATCCTTCTGCCTCAGCCTTCCAAGTAGCCAGAATTACAGGCATGTGCTACCATGCCCGGCTGATTTAGATTTGTTTTTAACGGAGAGAGGACCGCTGAAGAATAGCAGTGAATGGTGGCAAAGGCAGGTGTTGGGAATGGTGAGCTGTTCTGGACATTTTCAGACTGCATTATCATCATGACAGTCAAGGAAAAATGTCAAATGAAATCTGACTAAGCTAAAAATAGAGACACACAATTAATCAGTTCATATGGTCATTGAAGCCATGTGAATGGCTAGAGTTTCCTAGAAAAGTCTGTAGAGTGTCAAGAGTGCTAAGGCTGTGATCTGAAGAACATCGTTTAAGGGAAGGATAGAAAGGCATCTAGCAAAGGACGAGGTGTGCTCTCAGACAGAAAAGCAAAACATGGAGGCTGCTATGAAGGATCAAGGAAGGAGGATTTCCAGATGAAAGTAGTGGTCAACAGCATCAAATGCTGCAGAGTGGTCACAAGGGAGTAATGACACTCCCACAGGTGACCAGGAAGTCCCCAGGGACCTGATGAAAGCAAATTCTGCAGAATGGAGAGAAGAATGATATCAGAGGTGAGTACGTTCAGGAGAGTGAGTAGCAGATGAAAATAAGTTTGGCTGTGAAAGAGAGAAAAAAGACGGGGCATGTGGTTTATCATTGTTGTTATATACTCTTAAAGATAGCAGAGAAGCCGGGCTCGGTGGCTCAGCCTGCAATCCTGCGCCTTTGGGAGGCTGAGGTGAGTGGATTACCTGAGCCTGCGGGTTCGAGACCCGCCTGGGCAGCGAGACCTCATCTCTACATAATCAAAAAATCAGCCGGGCGTGTAGCGCATGCCTGTATTCCGGCTACTTG